GCAGCGCTGAGTCTAGGAGAACTCACCGGTATCACACACACTCCGGACGCGTCACGTTCAACTCGAGCAGCGGTCTAAAACAGTTTATTTAATCACCAAACGGACACAAGTTTACTTCAAGAATGAACAATTTGGCATAGATGAGTTTGAAGTTCGGTGTTTAAAAAACGGAGCAAACGGAAAGAGAAAGCATGACCTATAGCTCTATAAATGAAGCACACAGACTTTATTAGAGCCACAGAAAGACAAACGTTTTGCTGAAAATGCACAATACACAATTAATTATGTACATTAACAACGATTCGGGACTAATATAATGTAATTTAATGGAAAACTATGTGAATGGCGCTCTGTGGCGCGGCAGAATTTTCTGTCGGCTGCATTTAAATTCGCGTCTGAAGTTTCCCGCTCTGTTTAGCGTGCAGTATCACGTGTCTAAACAAATAGCACGTGCTGTCAGTGATTTCAACCACTAGAGGCCGCTCTCGCACTGTGTAATGACAGCAGACCCTTCTCAGCCGCTCCAGCAATGGACGCAAGCCGGAAAACTATCGGCATGGATTTTTTTGCCGATAACCGATAGTTCCAGCAATCAACTAACGGTGCCGATTAATCGGCAAAACCGATACATCGGTCGACCTCTAATTCTAACTACCTTCGCTAGGCTTCATCACGCAGTGAGTTGTTGCCCTGCCTCATATTTGTCGTCAATCAACTGTATGAAATGTCAGATCACCCACATAGGTCTGGGGCGGGGCAAGTGCGTTAAATGCATTAATGATTTTAACATGTTATTTTTCACCGTAATTAATTAATCTAATTAACGCGTTAAATTACCAGCCCTAGTTTTAAGATTGAATAAAATAAAGTTTTCCTCATAATTGATTAATCATTGGTTTGGTTTTAGTACAAATTTATTACAATGTGCTTTGGAATCGGAACATTTTAACAGGAAAAAAAAAGTGTAAGAAAAAATATGAATTAATTAAATTAATGTATTTATTTAATAAAATAATTGCAATTTATTATTATTAAATGTGTTATTTATTATAATACTGTCACGCCCATGGACTGTCTGTGTGTGTTTTTCTCCCTACGTGCTTCCCGTGACCCAGTTTCTCCCATGTGTGATTGTCTCAATTAGTTCAGATGTGTCTCGTTAATTACCTAGTTTAGTCCTGTATTTAAAGTGTTGTCAGCCCTATGTTCCCTTGTCCGGGTTTATATGTCTACCTTGATGTGCTACGTGTGTAGCCTGCCTGCTTTGTATTACCCCTTTCCTTGGATATTAAAGACTGTCATTTGCATTTTCCTCGTGTCAGCGTTCCTTGCTCCTCTCTGTAGCAATCGTGACAAATACATTTAACTGTAATTATGTATTTTTTATTAAAGTTATTTGAATGAATAAAATAATATTTTCATTATAATAGATTACTAATTTATTTTGGCTTTGGTAAAAATTTTGTACAATGTGATTGGGAATTTTACGTTTTATTTAATAATTAATTTAATATATATTTATATTTAATAATGGCAATTTATTATTATTATTATTTAATATAATATTATATTAATTAATAAATCCTAATAAAAATTTTTAATATGTTATGTTATTATATAACACAATTTTATCTTCACATAACTGACTTACTGGGACATGGTAGATTCAGAAATATTTATATGAAATCTAACAGGTGCATTTGTTTTAATAACAATGAACACAAAAATGTGTTTATTGAATCAATTTGTATATGACATGCATGTTATTGATGGGTAATAAAAGAGTTTTTATTTGTGTTATTAAATCAAAATCGCATCAGATTAAGGACAACGAGTGCACTAATTCACAATGGCATACACTGTCAGACATTACAGCTGCTAAGACGCAAATGTTTCTGTATGTTTAATAAAATCAGGAATGTGCTGTAGTAGGTGGGGCGGCATTAATAAATCCTAATAAAATTTTTAAATATGTTATGTTATTATATAACACAATTTTATCTTCACATAACTGACTTACTGGGACATGGTAGATTCAGAAATATTTATATGAAATCTAACAGGTGCATTTGTTTTAATAACAATGAACACAAAAATGTGTTTATTGAATCAATTTGTATATGACATGCATGTTATTGATGGGTAATAAAAGAGTTTTTATTTGTGTTATTAAATCAAAATCGCATCAGATTAAGGACAACGAGTGCACTAATTCACAATGGCATACACTGTCAGACATTACAGCTGCTAAGACGCAAATGTTTCTGTATGTTTAATAAAATCAGGAATGTGCTGTAGTAGGTGGGGCGGCACAGCTGACTCGTTTCTCTGTGTCTTTTGCCATGAGTTACACTCCTCCATATTCTCACCAGTCCGAGGGGGTCTGACCTTTCTGAGGGCGTCTCGCAGAGTCTGGGCCATACAGTGGTAAACATAGCAGAGATATGAGACACTATCATGGACCCTCTCTGTAGTGACTCTTTCTGCTTTCTGTATTATGCCAGTAGGTGTCAACAAGTGACGTCGTTTTTTTATGAATAATTCACTGAATCATTGATTCAAATGCTTTGTTCAAAAATTCATTCGGAACAAAACACTACTGCTGTGTGTTGCTCTGACATGACAAATGTTGATCTATGTTGATATCTATTTCTGCTTAAAGGGATAGTTCACCTAAAAATGAAAATTCTGTCATCATTTATTTACCCTCATGTTGTTCCAAACCTGTATGACTTGCTATTTGATACAGGTTTGGAACAACATAAGGGTGAGTAAATGATGACAAAAGTAATTTTTGACTGAACTGTAAATGTTTAGTAAACACATGCACGTTTTATCTGAGATTAAAACGTTTGTACAGAGAAAACACTAGCTCGATTTGTGCTTGTAGTGTTCGTCACAATTGCTTGTTTGTTTCTACTAAAATAAACACCGTTAGTCTGTTGAATTGCTGGAGTTCGACTTGCACAGGGATTTTCAGCTTCTTTCCACTGAGTTGTTATTATTGCACAACAGCGACAGAGGAAATTTGTTCTCAGCAGCTCTCACAGTAGAACACTGTTACATTTACAGCCCAATGGCCAAGATTCTTTAGACTGGTTTATGGAATATTCCTTTATTTGAATTGAAGTTTGTCAATAGGTAGAAAGAAATGGAAATATGATCACAGTTTTTCCTGTGTTATCTTGTGTGAAACAATGCGCTGCATTTAGGTGCTGGAGTTTGAATATTAATTCACTCTCCTCCGTGTTTAAGGTTCAGAGCATGAATGTTTTAGTTTAGCCTCAAGTCAGAATGTTTGTGGCAGCTACTCAAATGTTTTCAATTCTTTTCCTTTAATTAGAAATGATCACATAATGGCAGTATAACGTTATACGTAGCATGTAACATTTGTTAAGGGCTTTCTTTTTAATCCATGATGATTTTTGTTGTGTGGAAAGAACTGTTCTTCTTTGTTAGGTATTGTGTGAAGTATTGTGTCGTTGGTTGCAATGCTTTCTTTTAGTTCCTTAACAAAACGTTTTCCTCTTTATTGAATTTGTTCTTACATTTTGTCTCTGTCGAATATTGACATTGTCTGGGCCCGGGCCATCAGGTCATCCTTATCGTCCTGTAATGAAACTCAGTCTACTGATATAAAAAGCAAATCCTACAAATGTTGTTTTATAATATTTAGTCTATTAATGCTTTCTTCATCTTTGTCTCTCAACAGCGCGTGCCATCAGGTGCTCAGAGTTCAAATCCAGCCATGAACATAATTGGAGCAGAGGATGAAGACTTTGAGAATGACGAGCAACCTGTGAGTGATTCATTAGCTCAGAACTAGTAGGGATGGGTATAGTGAGGATTCCGGTTCTTTAATGATTCTTTTAGAATCTTTGAAGTAGAAATATTTGGAATTATTTTTTCTCATGTATATTTCTAATTTAAAGAGATATAGCTAATTATAAATACATTGAATGCAATTCTTAAAAAAGGTGTTTACACAAAGTTTATAAAGTAGTACAGAAGCAGCATAAATGCAATGCAATAATTTGTAAGTGTAATGAATAAAAATGCTATACTAAAACAATTGGTGGCATTTATCAACAAAATCCTGGTATTTAGCGTCACATTATCATACAAACAAAACAAGCCTTAAAGAATTGGTTGTATCTATTAGGATTATATACACTACTGTGCCATTTTTTTTTGGGGGGGAGAAAATTAATACTTTCCAGCAAGGGTGCATTAAATTGTTCAAAAGTGACAGAAAGCAAATGTGAAGTGTTATAAAATATATATTTTAAATTGAATTATATGTATGTCCCAGCATACACGTGTATATATATAATATATATAATTTAAATTAAATTATATGTATTATATACAGTATATGTGTATGCTGGGACCAAACTCTCCCACTCATTCGCTGCAAGCCCCCAGATATCAACTAAAAAACGGCAGGCCCCCCAACCACCAAAGCCTGTGGGCCCAGCTCGTCCTCCTCCTGTGAGAGCTTTCCGGCCGCTGCCACAATGCCAGGGCCCAAACCCTCCTCCATCTACTCTAGGTGAACCAAAAACAACTGATAACAGCTCTCAGTGATATGTGTCGGGTCCCCGCTATGATAGCAGCAACATTCACAAATGTTTACAGAACAAGCGGGAACCCAGTGTGCCTGTAGCTTTCTATATTTCTGTTTTATCACGTGATAGAAAGTCTAAGGCCTTCTCAAGCCGTACGCTGACCCATCTAATTTTAAACACGTTTGACCTGATTCAGCATGTGCATGGACCCACACACAGTCAAGGACACACTCTAGATTTACTCATCAGTAAGGGTCTAAACATCTCATCCATAGTTAAGGACGTAGCACTATCTGATCACTTCTGTATTTTCTTTGATATATTGATCTCTGCTACCATTGAATCTAGATCTGTCTCTGTCAGAAAGAGATGCATTAACGAAAACACTAGCGTGCTATTTATGAAGGCTATATCTTTAACACCAAACATTTCTGCAGACTCTGTTGATCTTCTCCTTGATTCCTTTAACTCAAAAGTTAAGAATGTTATTGATGACATTGCTCCTGTGAAAGTCAGCAATAAGACTGGCAGACAGAAATCAGCTTTTGTAGAAAATCAACAGCACGAAACTTGCTATAGCATCTATAAAGACAGCCTTCATGCTTTCAATCTGGAACTGGCCACAGCTAGACACTAGACAGTCTCAAACCTTATAAACAGTAACTTAAACAACACTCACACTCTTTTTGCTACTGTTGAGAGACTGACAAAACCCCCAAGTCAGATTGCCAGTGAAATGCTCTCTGACAGCAACTGCAATGAGTTTGCTTCCTTCTTTTCTGAGAAGATCAATAATATCAGGAAGGCGATTAGCACATCCTCAAGTTATGCAGAGGTCAGAGAGGTCAGACCGCAATATCAAAAAGAAGATACTATGTCTCTTTTTGAAGCAATTGATAGCAAAATTTTGAAAATTTTGGAACAGCACCTTAAATCGTCAACCTGCTATCTTGACACACTTCCCACATATTTTTTTCAAAAGGGTGCTAAACTGTTTGGAAGCAGAACTCTTAGAAGTGGTGAACGCCTCACTTCTTTCTGGGACTTTTCCAAACTCCCTGAAAACTGCAGTTGTTAAACCCCTTCTGAAAAAGAGCAATCTTGATAACACCATATTGAGCAACTACAGACCAATATCAAATCTTCCTTTTATAGGAAAGATTATTGAAAAGGTAGTCTTTAATCAGCTGAACAAATACTTACACTCAAATGGATACCTGGACAATTTTCAATCTGGTTTCCAACCGCATCACAGCACAGAGAC